AGATGTGGACGAGGTGGAAGATCAGGTGGGAGATGGAGGTGCTGGTGTCGGAGAATGGCTGGGTGATGCAGTCGCTAACTTCGAGGAGGAGGACTCTGCGCCAGTGGAACCTGCGCCAGTTCTGGAGGCAGAGGTGTTAAAAATCCAAGCTTCTGAAAAATCCTGGAAGGAACTGAAGGACCACTTGACCCAGCCTGTTCGCATGATCAACTTCGTTATGGTGGAGCCGATTGTGGACAAACAACAGACAACTGTTTTATCGGCTGTTCAAAGGATGATGGTGCGCCTGCAAAGACATGGGTATCCGGTGTTAAGAATCCATTCAGATCGAGCGGGGGAGTTTGTCAATGCACGCTTCCGGTCCTTTTGTGAAACTCGTCTGATATATAGGACCACTGGTGATCCTGGAGTCCCACAAACAAATGGGCGCGCTGAAGCATGTGTGGGTTTATTCAAACGTGGTGTAAGGTCGCTCTTAAAGGAGGCGCGACTCGGGCCGGCGTACTGGGCACTAGCTGCTCGCCATTGGTCAATGTTACGGTGGCATAAAGCTGAAAGGGAGTTGGGGTTAAACCCGAAGGCGTTGCTTCCCTTTGGTGCTCAGATTCAAGTCAAACGTCGTCCGTGGGAGTTGCTGGGTCCGGATGGAACAAAGAAAGGTCGGCAATGGGTCGATCGTACACAGCCCGCGCTTCTTTTAGGTCCATGTGATGACCTACCTGGTGGTTATTGGGTGAACTGGTGTTATTTCCCTGCGCTACAATTTTTTCCAATATAAGGGAACCGCCAGAATTGGAGTTGGAAGGGGTGGCAGAAGAACAGGAGCCTTCTCCTCCAGAGCATCGTCTCAAAGGGAAAAAACCAGAGCTTCGTTTCGCTGATGAGGAGGGCCCTCCATTACCTCCGCCTCGCGATCCTCCAGTTCGCCATCGGTTAATGTCAAAAAGCCCGGCCTCTTCACTGCGTGGTCATGTGGGCTCCTTGCGCTTGCTTCGCAAGCGGGGGGAGAGTCCGCCCTTAGAAATTTTTGAGGATGACACGCAGGGTCTGGGGGAGCTGGAAGAAAATGCAGATATTGAGGACAATGTTCCTGGTGATGAGTATTGGCCGACTTGTTGTTCTCCTCGTGAAGATGCTTATTTGGTCTGCAAAAGGGAGACTGCAGAGGATGGAACACAGTTGGAAAAAGAAGAACAAAAAGCCAAATCGATGTATGAAAGGTCTATGTATGATTACGTGGACTGTGAAGAGCTTTTGGAAGGGATTGTATACCCAAAGAGGGTGAACCGAAGAGGTGGTATTAACAATTGGTGCACAAGTACGCGAGCTCTGGTGTTGGGCCACTATACTCATGGCGGAGTGTGTGGTATTACAAAAGAGACTCATCGAAGGCCATGGCTATGTCGATACCTGGCATCATTTGTGAAGCACCACAATCCTGAAGCCAATTTTTCTGCTCTTCAGATCTCATGCAATGCTCCGGTGTCATTGCATAGAGATAGTCACAATGAAAAGCATTGCTGCAATTATGTGTGTGGCTTTGGTGACTATAAGGATGGTCAGCTGTGGGTTGAGGATGAGGAGGTTTTAGAGGAAGGAGCTGAAGTGGTGGAGCAATCCTATGGGAAGAAAGTCTTGCCTGGAAAATTGGTCAATATCCACTGGAACTTCATGTCGTTCTTTCCGAGAAAATTGCACGGACCTATGCCTTGGAAAGGGAACAGGGTATCTTTGACGGGGTACACACCTGTTTTTATGGAGCGTTTGAGCTACAAGGATAGGTGCTATCTTCTCCAATGTAAGTTTCCTCTTCCGGAACCACGAGCTGAAGAAGGTGAAAAAAGAAAATGGTTAAAAATGACGTTGAAAGAGACCTCGCTGGACGACATTGCGGAGGAAGTCGACTATGCTGTTTTTGAGGCGCAACAATGGGCTCTAGAGGAGCATTTGAGTATTCGACGCCTAATTGCTGAACAGGAATGTTGCGTTTTGGACGAGTTCCATGAATCGGCCAATGAGTCGAATGGGGAAAAAGGATCAGAGACTGGAGAATGGCTGGTTAAAGCAAAAAGAACCGAGGAGCAGCTCTCGAAGTTTTTGGTCAAAGCAGCTCAAGTTCAGCAAATGGTGCAAGAAAATACCGCGCTTGAGGCAGCAGAGGAGGTTGAGTTCCTGCAAACAAAAACAATTCCTACACAAGAAGCCATGCAAGAGCTGGAAAAGTGGAGGGAATCATTGTCGGACGAGGTGACGTCTTTGGTTAAAGAGTTGGAGGTGGTGGAGCCAACGACTCAAGAAAAGCTGGACAAATTGGCGGAATTAAGAGCCTAATGCACCGGTGATTGAGTACGTGCCCAGTCTGGTGGTGTTTACCCGGAAACAAGGGACAGGGAGGCGACGTGCCCGTATTTGTGCATGCGGCAATTTTATTTCGTCAACGGCAGCTACAGAATACGAAGGGCCGAGGTCCCTTAGTCGTCACTCGCTGTACGCTCCTGGTTTAGATTCAACTACATTTAGGTGTCAAGTGAGGCACGCAGCATATATGGTGTGGATCATCGCTGGTTTAGACATTTCCAAAGCTTTTCTGACGGCGCCGATGAATAGGGCGCAAAGAGAAGGGCGTCTGGTGGTGGTGCAGCCCCCAAGGGCGGCGGTGAAATTGGGTCTTTGCACAAAGGAGGAGCGGTGGATTGTGAGGAAGGCCTTGTACGGTTTGGCCGAAAGTCCTGCAGCATGGGTGGAGTGGCGAGATCAGCGTCTTCAAGGCATGTCTTGCGTGTCAAAGGATGGACAAGCAATGAGCTTTCAGAGGTCCAATGCAGACCCAAGTCTGTTCCTTATTATGGCACAAGAGAAGCTGGAAGGCGCAAGCAAGTTGGTAGGGACAATGGGTCTTTACGTGGATGATTTTTTGATGGCTGGGACTATGACAGTGCTCCGGGAAGCCTTGGAACAGATCAGGAAGGAGTGGAAGACTTCTGAACCTGAGTTCTGTGGTCCAGGCTGTGGTGATGGATTCCTGAAGTTTTTGGGTGTCCAAATCTGGTATCGAAATGGCAGCTTCTTTCTCAACCAGGAGGACTTTGTGAGAGATTTGCTGAACCGACGAGGGTATCAGATTGATGAAACTGGAAAAGGTAGTAACCTGCCAATGGTGAAAGAAACTCCAGGTGAAGAAGAGGAGGTGGATATTCCTTCCTTGCGAGCGGCTCAAGGTGCCGTAGGGGAGTTCCTCTGGGTGGCAATCAAAACTCGACCTGATTTGGCTTTCTGCACAAGCCAGCTGTCTTTGTGGACATCCCGAAGGCCGCGATTCGTGGTTAAAAAGGCTGAGGAGGTATTTCGATACCTTGCTGCAACTCCAACGTTGGGCTTGACGTTTGGAGCAATCGCAACAAGCGAAAAAGAAAGGAATGAGTTGTTGCGTTATGGGCGAGGCGTCAAGGTGGTAGAGTCCTACGCAGACGCTAGCTTTGCAGCAGGTGAAAACGAAAAGAGCCACTCAGGAGCGGTGGTGGTTTGGGGTGATTGTCCGGTGATGTGGGCAACGCAGAGACAGTCAACGGTGGCTTTGAGTACTGCTGAAGCTGAGTTGCATGCGTCTATAGAGGGAGCAACGATGATTCAGTCGTGTACCCCCATAATTGCCGCTTTGGTGGGAACTGGTGAAGAAGCGCTGCAAAAAGTGCTGTGTACAGATTCTGTTTCGACGTGTTCAATTATTCAATATCCTGCTGGAAGCTGGAAGGCACCTGAGAATTCGAGCAGCTGGTGTCAGGTCTCTGGTGGACCGTGGTTACATGGTGATAGCGCATCTTCGTGGTGAGTATATGATTGCTGACCTGTTAACAAAATTGGTGAGTGGACAGGTTTACGCAAAGCAAAAGGCGCTTTGGGGTCTCCAAATGTTGGTGCAAGGAACTGACTTGAAAAGGGCCTCTCTTGCAATGGCGGTCATGATGGTGGCTGCATCTCTTCAAGGGATGGCAACCGTTCCAGATGGAGAAGAAGCGTCAAATGCTGGATTCTTTTGCTCAGAAGAAGGAGTGTGCCAATTCGCCAACACGTCTACGGTTATGGTTCTGGCTCAAGGTATTGAAATGGTTATCAACAATGTAGATATCGCTGTGTATTTGGTGGCAATAATCACACTCTGGGAACTGGCCAGGTATATCCTTCGGCGGCTGTATAGATGGCTGTGGGGCAGGAAAGTGGTGGTTATTCCCGCGAGTGCCACTTTGTATACAACGGTGGGTGGGAACTGTATGCACGCACGCAGTGACTGTGATGTTCTGCGATATTCACAACCCAGGGCCAAGACGCTTTGTAAGCATTGTGTCAAGAAAGGTTGGGTGGTGAATGCTGAGTTCCTTGGTGAGGAACAGGCCGCTGGAACATAGACTTTTTAATGTGAGGTGAAGAAATCCTCAATGGTAACAAGGATTCGGCCAATGCACTGAAGGTTCGTCCTGGAAAGACGTAAAACCATGGTGTGCAAGTTAATGGCTACGGCCCGTCCATCGGACGTTAAACATGTAGCTGACCGCTGTCAAAGCGACAGTTTTTTGGTCAAGCATCTGCACCTCCAGTCAGTGTCCTAGGAAATCCTAGGACAGGGGGAGTGCGGAGCTGCAAGTTGTATTCAGGAATTGAATGGAAGGGTGAAGAAAAAGGGTCAATGTACCCGGTGATTTTTTGGCTCAAGATGTGCCATGCGCCTAGTAAGAAAAGGGTGCTTGGTCCTTTGGGTTTGGTTTGTGGTTGGTCCAGGCGGCTTAAGGGCATCTTCTGGGGTTGACTGTTTTGTTCCTTGTCCCTCTTTGGTTGCTCCCCGTAACCTAAACCCCCTATACCCCAAACCCTTAAACCCTCAACCCCCTCAGCCCTAAACCCCAAACCCTTAAACCCTCAACCCCCAAGCCCGAAACCCTAACCCTCAACCCCCAAAGCCCTAAACCCTAAACCCCCTCACAGAACCTATCTATTGCGGCCGATGCCTCCCGACTCTGCTCCTCGGCCAGGAAGACCTGCTGCACCTTTCATCGAAAGTCCCCCCCCCCCCCCCCCCCCCCCCCCCCCCCCCCCAGCCGAAATTGCCCACCCAACCCCCTCCCCCCCCCTCCCACACCCCCCCATCTCACCACCCACCCAAAGCCTTCAGCTTCCCTAGGGTTGAGGGTTTAGGGTTTTAGGGGTAGGGAATGCCACCCCCCCCCCCCACCCCCCCCCCCCACCCCCCACACCCCCCACACCCCCCCCCCCCCCCCCCCCCCCCCCCCCCCTCTCCTCCAACCCAAAGCCTACCCTATCTTGGCTGCACTCAGGAGGGTCGCTATAAATTAAAACTTCTAGCTGCCTTAGTAAGAAGCCCAATAAACCCCAGAAAAGGTAAGGATCTAAAGCTACAGTAAAGTACCACAAAGCTAGGGTTTAGGGTTAGGGTTTTGAGGGTTGCGGTTTCGGTGCTTTTGATGTGAGACCTTCCGAAAGATGAGGGCCTCCCATGTGTGTGCATAACATGGCACAATCCCCCCTCCCCCCCTTAACTAAGGAACCGGTGCATGAGAGAATTTTGCAAGATTTTGTGGGTAACCCCTCAGACCCCCCAAATAGTAGAATCCCCTTACAGTAAGGACCCCAGTAAGGTACCCTAAACCCTAAACCCTAAACCCTGAACCCTGAACCCTAAACACTAAACCCTAAACCCTAAACCCTACACCCTAAACCCTCCGGGCACGTCAGGCAAGGCTCCGGAGTGACATCCTTAGGAGAGTCACATGGTCCCTTCATAAGAGCCCTGAGTTGGGGGGGAATCCTTTCTATTACCCCTTACCTTCCCTACATAACCCAAGGGCCCATATTACTTCGGAACCCTAAGGAAGGTAAACCCTAAACCCTAAACCCTAAACCCTAAACCCTAAACCATATGTATAAACCCTAAACCCTAAACCCTTAAACCCTTTCAGGAAGGTAAGGGACCAAGATTAAAGGACCATGTAACTTCCCTTAGAGACATCCGACCTTATCTTCCTGGAACTCAGGATGGCTGTTCTGTGAGAGGGCCCCTTCTTAGGGTTTAGGGTTTAGGGTTTAGGGTTTAGGGTTTAGGGTTTAGGGTTTAGGGCTTAGGGCGCGAGCCTTGAACATCGAGACCACCCTAACTTCTCCTAAACCCTAAACGCTAGACCTGGGAACAAAAGGTGCACTGCTTTGGTTTATGGGGTTGATAGGAGAACTAAACCCTAAACCCTAAACCCTAAGCCCTAAGCCCTAAGCCCTACGCCCTAAGCCCTAAGCCCTAAGCCCTAAGCCCTAAGCTCTAAGCTCTAAGCCCTTAAACTTCCAGCCCCAAACCTCAAACCCAAAAACCCCAAAAACGTAGCTGCAAGGAGTCGACCAATGAGTCATCATCCTCCGTGATGGCAGTGACCGAAATGTCGTCCACATAACCCCGTGGGCTGCTTGCCGGCACGGTACTCAACCACAGAGAGCCAAATATTCACCACAGCGTTCATGGCAAGCATGCTGAACGGGCATCCCTGAAGGATCTGCTCAGGAGCCAGAAAAGGAACCCCAAGCTTGTATCGCCGGGTGGCGTGGCGCAGCATACAAAGTGTAAGGTTGGAGAACTGAGCCGGGCATTGCCACACGTCGCAAGGGTGTTTCCGAACAGTTCCCGAACCCTTGAAACCCCTAAAGCCCTGAAGCCCCTAAACTCCCTAAAAGCCCTAAAACCCGTAAAGCCCCCTCAAGACCCTCAAGCCCCTGGAGCCCAAAGACCCCTGACACCCCATTAACCCTTGCGTGCACACTATGCTCACGCTTGATACAGTCAACAGTAGTATCCAGATGTAATTCGCCCATACCGGAAAAATAAGTTGCTTGAAGGAAGCTCCTAAACCCCTGAAGGCCCGAAAGCACCTACACCACCCCAAAAGCCGCTTTGAACCCCAAAACCCCCCATGAAGCCCACTAAACCCCCTAGCCCGTCACCCCAAACCACCGAATCCCTAAACCGTTTAAACCCTAAACCTAAACCCTAAGCCCCCTAAAACCCCCGAACCCCCTAAACCGTTCAAACCCCTGAGCCCCCTTAAACCCCAAACCTTAATTGGACCCTAAACCGTTTGAACCCATGAAACCCCCTAAGCCCTAAGCCCTAAGCCCTAAACCCTAAACCCTAAACCCTAAACCCTAAACCCCAGAAGCCTGCAGTTCCCAGGCGAGCCAGAGCAGCTTGGACACGAACTCGGCGAAACCTTTGGGGGGAAAGAGGGGTTTTAGGGTTTAGGGTTTAGGGCTGAGGGTTTAGGGTTCAGGGTTTAGGGTTCAGGGTTTGGGGCTTAGGGGTTTAGACTCTTACCCTCTCAAAGAGCGATTTTTTGTGATCGGGGGGCCGGGCGTAGACTGGGCCGACTGGGCGAGGGATCAAAAACAGTTGTAAGATCAGCAGAACTTTCCTGTTCTGGTCGAACAAGCAACAAAGCAAAACAAGCAGAAGCCCTAAATTCCTAAACCCCTCTAGACCCACAGTAAAATAGGAATAAAAAAGGGTGCCCTTTTTGGCTTAAAGTGGATTTTAACGGAACTTAAACCCTAAAAAGGGAATAAAGGCCCACTCTGGTTCCAAGCCTTAGCTCGGAATCAGAAACGGAAATACAATCCTGCCCGTGCCTCTCTGACCCCTAAGCCTAAACCCAAAACCACGAAATCCCAAAACCCCAAAACGCCTAAACCCCTAAACCCCAAAATAGCCCCAAAACTCGAAACCCCAACCCTAGGCCCTAAACCTGTTTGGATCCCATGGCCACTATTTGCTCAAGCACCGCAAAACAAGTCAAAACATCATAACCCTATGGCCCTATGGTGCGCTCGTGAGGAAGAATAGTTCTATGTTTTCAATGCGGGCTCTTCAGCAATTAGTAGATACGAGCCCCCCCCCCCCCCCCAAAAAAAAAAAAAAAAAAAAACACCATGCCCTTTAAGGGGGGTACCCTAAACCCTTAATTATAGGGGGGGGGTTCTGCTCTAAACTCTAAAACCTAAACCCTAATTCCTTATTATAGGGGGCAGGGGGGGGGGGGGGGGAGGCTTTCTTAAGCAACTGCATAAACCCTCAACCCTCAACCCTAAACACTAAACCCTAAACCCTAAACCCTAAACCCTAAACCCTGAACCCTGAACCCTAAACCCTAAACCCTAAACCCTAAACCCTAAACCCTAAACCCTAAACCCTAAACCCTAAACCCGATGGTTGCTTCCCAAGCGGCTCGGCTGCTGCAGCAGCGAGGTGCCGGCGCGGAGGGCAGCCAAGCCTGTCAGGGAGGGACTTAGGGTTTAGGGTTTAGGGTTTAGGGTTTAGGGTTTAGGGTTTAGGGCTTGGGGTTTACGATTTAGGGTTTAGGGTGTGGCGTTTAGGGTTTTAAGGTTTAGGGTGTAGGGGTTAGGGTTTTAGGGTTTGGCGTTTCGGGTTTAGGGTTTGGGGTTGAGGGATTTAGAGTTTAGGTAGGGTTCAGAGTTTAGGGTTTAGGGTTTTACAGTTTAGGGTTTGGGTTTTAGAGTTTAGGGTTTGGGGTTTAGGGGTTTAGGGGTTTAGGGTTTGGGTTTAGGAGCTGCGTGTTTGGAGCCATGGGGTTTAGGGCGTCTAGGGTTTCACAGCTGGCTTTGGGGGTTTTGAAGGCTTTTGGAATCTTTAGGGGTTTAGTGGAGCTGTGGGGCTTGGGTTCTCACTGAAGGGGTTTAGCCTCTAGGGTTTAGGAGAGCTTTGGGGGCTGAGGCCTCTTGGGGTTTCGGGGTTCAGGTGTTAGGGGGCACCGAGATTTAGGGTTTAGGGTTTCGGGATGTAGGGATTGAGGCTTCTAGGGGTTTAGGGGAGCAGAGGGGCCGCGGAGGTGCAAAGGAAGCATTCTCGTCATGCCAGGCCCTCGTGGGGCGTCTCATCAGCACATCCTCGGCCTTGTCGGTAGCCGACCTCGGTCTGCGAGCAGACCTTGTCCGCGAGCAAGGGCGAGACGACCTTGCTCAGAATGTCCAGTAGCACAATGCCCCGATGATGAACCAAGTCGCCGGGGTTCCCTTTGCCTTTTCAAAAAGGGAACAGAATGGAAGACCTCCAGATGGTCAAGCGCCATTCCATGAAGCTAGGCGGTGAAAACCCTCAATCCTGAACCCTCAACCCTGAACCCTCAACCACAAACCTATTATTGCAGTGGGGAGGATACTTTTGTAAGGATTTTGGGCTTGGGGCCTGTAGGAAGCCATCGCATGTCTACGGCCTTTTGAGCCTCCCGGCCCCAGAGCATCGTAGGAAGACTTCCCGGCTTAGAATCCATTGTTGTTGGTATAGGATTTTCTTGGGCACCCCACCCCCCCTCCCCCCCCCCCGCTTTTCGGGTTAAACTGGGGCCCATCAGGGGATTTGTGGCTCCTTCCCCATAATGCCCGCAAACACCCCCAAATTCCAATTCCCAAACCCCAAACCCCAAACAAAATAAGGGACCCTGCTCCAGCTCCAAGAGGAAAGTTCAGGGCTTCAGGGGTCTTAGGGGTTTCGGGTTTTTAGGGGCTTTAGGGGCTTTAGGGGCAGTTTGCCTCCCGTCTCCAGGAAGCTCGCAAACACGGCCGCAAACTTGTCCTCAGACGTCCCACCCCCCGGGAAGCGCAGGGGGATTCAGGATTTCTCGGTAGAAACCGACACTCCCAAGCCCGAAGCCCCAAACCCCACTAAGCCCTGCACGCGAAACCCAAAACCCTAGCCAGACCCTGAACCCTGAACCCGAAACCGGAGCTAGACCCCAGACCCTAAGCTGGAAGGACCACTGTCCTGAGTCTAGGCAGTGGGTGGTTTGGGTTTCTGGTCATGGGTAGCTATAGCTGGGGCTGTACGTACATCGTGCTGGTATTGCGGCTCAGGGTCGAGGCTTAACTTGGAGGTTCAGGGTACTTATTAACCCAGTAATTACTGTACTTACAACCCAATTATAACTAGATTAGGGCACTTAAGGGGCTTATAAGCACTTATAATGGGTTACTTAGTAACCTCCAAGAATAAGCACACCGTGTTCGTCTGATGGTTTAGGGTCGAGGGTGTAGACGTCTATGCTTTAGGGGACTAAACCCTGAACCCTGAACCCTGAACCCTAAACCCTAAACCCTAAACCCTAGGTGTAGGGTGTAGGGTGTAGGGTTTAGGGTTCCCTAAACCGTAACCCCCCCCTAGCTAAACCCCCTAACTACCAACCCCTAAACCCCCCGAGCCCCTAGCCTAAACGCCCTAAAACTGCGAAAGTCGCAGCGCGAAGCCGAGTGTCGCCCTCTGTCTTGATCAGCGCGTTGAGCACGCCTGCAGAGGAGCCCTCTTCACGAAAAACACACACATGCATATACATATACATACGCAAATACACATACATATTTAATTGCCAAAGCTCTCTCTCTCTATATATATATACAGATCATACATGTACATATATGCATATATTACTCTGAATGATGGTAAGCTCCCTTATTTGGGAGTATCCAGGTTCGAAATGCACGGATGCATAACTACCTCAGTTCGACCTACAAAAGGCGTAGACGCATTGAATCCAGAGCCCTGAACAACAAAGCTAGTCGCCTGACATAAACGCAACTAAGCCCTAAGCCCAAAATCATTCTCAGCCCTGTGCAGTGGCGATGAGCAAGTGATTCAGCCTGATTCGGCATGCTAATTAATGCCGTCACAATCCTTGCATGCTTTAACTCGAGACTCACGACGCCCGGGCAACGTCTGTAAGCTATGCAGACGGACTCACCACTCACACATGAAGCACAGAAAGGTCAAGGGGTTTAGGGTTTATGGTTGAAGGGTTAGGGGTATTTGTTTTTGTGTTTTGTGTGGGTTTTTGGGGTTTTGGGGCTTGGTAGGAAGGGTTAAGGGCCTGAGGCTCCGGGTTTAGGACCCCATTGCGAGGTTTTGAAGGGACGAGAGAACGGAAACAACGTCTTGTCAAAGCAGCGGACGAAGCTGGGTCTTTTGTCAGGTTCAGGGCTCAGGGCTTAGGATTTGTGTTTTACGGCCTGGGGTTTTCGGTTTAGAGGCTCTCTGCAAGGCATGTTCAACAACAGGATGTGGCAGTTCCGTAAAGGATGCCCCCCATGTGCCCCGCCCTTTCGTGATCCTCATGGATGTAAAGACTTACTGTAGCATAACAACACGTAGCGAACTGCCCATCTCCTGGCCTAAGCCCGATAAACCCCCTCGACACTACAAACCCGATAAATCCTGTCAATGCTAGATTCCAATGCTAGATTCCCAATCCCCCTTTTCCGCCTTCCAGGAAATTCGCATCCTAAACCCTAGGCCGTAAACCCTAAACCCTAAATCAGCATTTTTAGGGGCACTTGCCTCGCGCACGCGGATCTGGGCCATTTGCGGGCTCCTGTCTCTCGGACCGGCAATGTGGGGGGGGGGGGAGGTGGCTGCACATTATATATTAACTACCCCCCCAGTTTCGTTCTATTAGAGTATATGGGGGGGGGGGGTCGTCTTATTGCGCAAAACTTCGGAAAGCCCCAAATGCTCAACACCTAATACCCCAAAAGCCCAAAGCCCCAGAAAACCTTAAACACCAAACAGAAACCAAAGAAAAAGCAAGGAAAAACAGCCCAGCCCTGAAACCCCCAAAACCCCCAGAACCCACAAGCCCCAAAACCCCTAACACCCCGCAAAGCCCCCAAAGCCCTCAAAACCTACACCCCTAAAAATGCCAGAAACCCCAACTCTGAACCCTAACCCCCCCCCCCCCCCCCCAAAAAAAAAAAAAAAAAATCCCTAAACCCTAAACCCACACGCCCAAATCCCCAAACCCCCAAAAGCCCTCATCCCGGTGTTCATGTCCAAGTCCCCCCCCCCCCCCCCCCCCCCCCCCCCGCAGACCAGGGAGAATAGAAGACTGACGAGGTTTAGGGGTTTTGGGGGTTCGGGTTTAGGGATACTCACAGCAGCGTTTCTAGAAGGAGTCCTTTACAGCCCTTACACACTCAGCAGACTAAGAACCCTGTGAGTATCCCTAAACCCTAAACCCTGAACACTAAACCCTAAACCCTAAACCACTAAGAACCCTGCAATCTTGAAGCTACATGATGACTTGTCGGCTGCCTGGAGGCCTCAGGGTTTAGGGTTGCCAAGCCGAATCTTCGGATTCGGGGTTTTGGGGATGGTGTCTAGGGTAAGGTTTAGGGCTTAAGGCTTTGGGCTTGGGGCTTAGGGCTTAGCGTTTAGGGTTCCCTACACCCTAATAACTTATTAACCCTACGCCCTCAACCCTGTGAGCCCTAAACCCTCAACCCGACAGGACTGGCGTTTAGGGTGGGGCTGACCAAACCCACTGAACCCTGAACCCTGAACCCTGAACCCTGAACCCTGAACCCTGAACCCTGAACCCTGAACCCTAAACCCTAAACCCTAAACCCTAAACCCTAAACCCTAAACCCTAAACCCTAAACCCTAACCCTGGAGCCTGTCCTTCATTCCTTTCCGGAAGATGAACCCCAGCAGCGCGGAGAGGCCCTTCTCTTGGAGAAAGAACCTTTGACACTGTGAGGCTCATGCGGTTTAGGGTTTAGGGTTTAGGGTTTAGGGTCTAGGGTTTAGGGTTTCGCTCGAGGGCTTGGAGGGGGCTTTGGGGCTTGGGGATCGTGATCTTCTCAAGAGCGCGCAAAAGGAACCCCCCCCCCTGAACCCCAAAACCCTAAACCCTGAACTCTGAAACCCTAAAACCCTAAAACTCTAAAACTCTAAAACTCTAAAACTCTAAAACTCTAAAAACTCTAAAACTCTAAAACTCTAAAACTCTAAAACTCTAAAACTCTAAAACTCTAAACTCTAAAACTCTAAAACTCTAAAACTCTAAAACCCTAAGCCCTGAACCCTGAACCCTAAAACTCTAACCCTAAACCCTACTCTTCCCTTGGAGCCCAGTAGTAGTCAGATTGTTGTTAACCTTTCGGGGGGTCGGTTGCGTTTTTTATAAGGCAATCAAGAACTTAAAAAGGGAATCAAGGCTGTTAAGGCTGTTGGGGGCTAAGGGGCCCTGGGTACGTACTTCCTAAGGCTCGAAGTTGGGTAACCTCTGCTAGAAATCCTGAATTAAGGTTTAGTCCAAGCCGAACCATCTCAACCTATGGTTTTTTCGAGGTCTGGGGATGTAGGGTTTTAGGGGTCAGGGTTAATCTGCAGGCCCCCTGCCCCGCCCCACCCCCCCCCAACCGCGCCTTCCCCCCGCCCCCCCCCCCCCCCCCCCCCCCCCGCCACCCCCCCCCCCCCCCCCCCCCCCCCCCCCCCCCCCCCCCCCCCCCCCCCCCCCCCCCCCCCCCCCCCCCCCCCCCCCCCCCCCACCCCCGCCCCCCCCCCCCCCCCCCCCCCCCCCCCCCCCCCCCCCCCCCCCCCCCCCCCCCCCCCCCCCCCCCCCTCCTGAAAGAAGACCAGACAGAGGCCCACAGATAGGTCTCACAGGCACATGCGCCCCGGGGGCCGCACTGACGCGTCTGCTCATTGCCATTGGCCACGGCGAAGCGCAAAATCTCCTTGGGCTCCCAAACTTTCCGGAGGGCTTCGAGGGGTTTTGGGGTTGAGGGTTTGCATCCCCAAACCATCAAGGGACGAAAGGAGGACTACAGGAGGGTACTTAGGAAAAGTGGGATGATATAAGGTGTATATATAACAATGCATGTATATATATATATATATATATGTATGAATAAAATATCTGTATATATATATATATATCCTTTCTTACATCCCCTTATTCGAGAGGCCTGTTACAAAGATAGCACTAATACGACAAACTATACAAGAAATGGAGTAGACTAGGCTCCACCATACCATTTCTCTAACCCAAAAAAACCATCCAGAATTACAGCACCTAAAGACCCTATCCAAAGCCCCTAACGCCCCTTAAAGCCCTAAAACTCGCAAAGCCCCAAAATCACTAAAAAAACCAAGAGCCCTAAAACCCCCCAAAGCCCAAACCCCTAAAGCCCCACAACCCTAAACCACAAAAACTGCAAAACACCAAAACCCTAGAGCCCCAAAACCCCTAGAACCCTAAACCCCAAAATCCTAGAATCCCACAACCCCAAACCCTAAATCTCCACCCATACAAACCCTTTAAACAAAACCAACTCTTCACAAACCCTTTAAAACCCTTTAAACATCCCTAAAAAACCTTAAACACCCTTTAAGAACCCTTCAAAAACCCTTCAAAAGAATCCCTTAAAAAAAACAACCCTAAACCCTAAAACCTTGGAAAATAACCTTTGGACAACCCGAATCTCCCCAACTGCAGTCCCAGGAGCGACGACGGACGCCTCGGCCTCCGCCAGGGCGGCCGGGTCCCGGCGAGGAGGCGCGGGCTGGGAGCGGCAGGGGTTGGGGGGGCTGGGGGGGGCGGGGGGGGCTCTAGGGTTCCTTGAGGGAGGGTTTAGGGTTTAGGGTTTAGGGCTTAGGGTTTAGGGTTTAGGGTTTAGGGCTTAGGGCTTAGGGCTTATTGTTCAAAGGGGGGAAGTAACCCAAGGTTCCCTAGTATGCTAAGGAAGCTCCCTAAGCTTCCTTAAGGCTCCCTAGGTACCTACCCCCCATGAACCCCCCCCCCCCCTTTTAAGGATCCTACAATTTGGGCTTTGGAGCTTTTACGCTTTAGGGCTGAGGGCTTTCATAGGGATTGGGGCTTGGGGCTTTGGGGCGTAGGGTTTAGGGAGAGCCTGAAGCGGGGATTTTGGAGCCGGGGGTTCTTCTGTTGAGCGCTTACGGTCTTTGAGGGTCTGCAGGGTTTTAGATGGCTATTGGGTGGTGTTTGGGGGTTTGGGGTTTGGGGTTTGGGCTTACGTGGGATTTCCTTGCTTTCTATGGCTTTGGTTTCGGCCAACGAGATGGGAAAAGGAGCCCTCTTTCCCTCCTTACCCCCCCAAAACGCGGGGGGGGGCGGGGCACAGAGGGGTTGTTTGGGACAAAACCCACCCAGCCCCCCCCCCCCCACCCCCCCAAACCCCCCCCCCTTCCCCCCTTCCCCCCCCCCCCCCTCCCACCGCCCTTGCCCCTTGCCCCCCCCCCCCCCTTGCCGCCCCTCTCCCATTGTTGGGCTTCCTTCAAGCTCTTTTAATTCCCCCCCCCCCCCCCCCCCCCAAAGAGGCTCAAGCAAATCAACTTTTGGCATCCTTTGAGCTGACAACCGCGTTTAAAGCTTTCAACTATGCTCCAGCGGGGTCGGCGGCTTGAGCCGGAGGCTCTTAAATCCGGCCAGGGCGGAGCCTGCGTCGCACTAAAGCGCTAGCTTCAAGGGGCGAGCGCCCGAGCCGCCGACCCCGCCCAAATTTGCTTCATATTCGCGCGGGGCCCTTCGGGAGGCCTCCAAAACGGCATCCAAGGGGACGCAACACGCGGTGGTGCGAAAAGCACGAAAACCACGTAAAAACCATGGTTCTTTTTTTAACGAAAAACCGTTGCCGCAAAACGCCCGCAGCACCCCATTAAACCCTCACAGGCGCGCATCATCGACCCTAGCTTTTCACATGGGGCGCGCGCCAGGCCGAAACCATGTTTTTCAAGGTTTGGGGGGGGTACCGGAAGCCCAAAACCAGGCGAGCATCATGAGCGTCAGCAGCCCTGGCCCGCGGCCCCAAGGCAGTAAAAAACGCTGAAAAACGCTGAAATCACCGTAAATACCGTGTTTTTATGAGGTTTTTCACGCGTGCCTCCGACCCCCACCCTTGTTGCCCTTGACCCGCCCCCAAAGTGCGCATCATCGAAGCCCATGTCCGGGGGGGGGGTCTGCTGATGCTGCTGATGCGCGGGGGTCCGGGCGCATCATCCAGCCATCGTTTCTCATGGGCTTCGTGGGCCTCCGGGCCCACGGCCCAGAGACCCAGCTGATGCTCATGATGCTTGTTTTGGGGGGGGGTTCCAACAGCAGAAAACCTCGTAAATACCGAGTGTTTTGTGGGTCCACGTAAAAACGCCCCTAAAATCGCTCATTTTACGCGCTCGAACGGCTTCGTGCCTACAAAACACCCGAACAGCAGGACCCCGAATGCCCTTAAGGGCATTCGGGGTCTTGCTTTTGGGGGTTTCGTGGGCACGCAAGCGTTCAAGCACATACAATCGGCGTGTTTAAGGGGGTTTTGGATGGCCTGGGGGAGGCCGCTGATGCTCATGATGCTCCCTTTCCTGGGTCCCAAAAGGCTTCCCAAGCCCAAAAACACGTGTTTACAGCGTTTTCTGAAGGTTTTTCGAAGGCAAAACGCATGCATAGAATGCTTTTAAGGCCCCCAAACCAACCCCACTGATGCTCCTGATGCGGGTGCGCGCGCGCGCGCGCGGCGCGCGCGCGCGCGCGCGCCGGGGGGGGAGGGGGGGGGAGGGAGGGGGGGCGAAGGCAGGAGAAAGAGAGACAGAGAGAAGGAGAGGACAAAGACACGGGAAAGAGAAGACAGTGCCAAGGTTCAAGGTTTCGTGCTTTGGGGGGCGGGGGCCGGCCCGTGCCGCTAGGCCTGAAATAGGAAGGTTCTCGTGTTAGGGTTTAGGTCTAGGTTTTCAGGTTCAAAAGGACTGACAGAGGATGTTTGAAAAGATGGCGTATGCAGTAGAGTTCTTCTGGGGGTTTCGGGTTTTAGGGCTTTGGGGCTTTGGAGGTTTGATGCGTGCTTCCGTAGAGGTTTTAGGTCTCTAGGGCTCTTGGCCTTTCTGAGGACCTCGGAACCCTAAACCCTAAACCCTAAACCCTTGTTGGGTGTTTTTTGGGCTTCAGAGTCCAGCCAGGGTTTCGGGCTTAGGGTTTGGGGCCTGAGGTGACAAAAGGGCCGGGTTCGGCTTCTTTAGGGTTTTAGGGCTTACAGGGACTGAGGGTTTTTAGGGTTTCAGGGTTTGGGCTTGTAGAGGGTTGCCCTAAGGTTTCTTGTTGAGAAAAAAGTGCCTCCCTTAACAGCACCTTTAGACCATTTCACTCAATCTGGGGACGCAAGAAATGCTTAGATGCGGCTGGATCGTTGAAGGTCGTTGTGCGCTCAAACTCCGCGGCAGCCAACGCCGGACATGCAGCAAGGAGCACATGGCCCTCCAAGTCTGCTCCGAGAAGCCCAGGCACACCAAGGGCAGAGGTACGAGCCCCCGTGGGCCTTAAGCTTTGCATGTCAAAATTTAGGGTTTAGGGTTTAGGGTTTACAGTAGGGTTTAGGGTTTAGGGTTTAGGGTTTAGGTTGCAGAGTGCCACGCCCACCGCACCACGCGCGACTTGGCGCCAGCCGCAGGGGGAGCTTATAGGCTCATCTAATAAACTCAACCCTGGACCCTAAACCGCATTTGAAAAGAGCTCTCTCCTTGTATGGGGCAGTGATCCTTATGTTCTTAGGGGGCTGAATACCCTAGCCCCAAAATGGGTAACCTTGTATGTATGGGGGTTTGCGGAAATCGGGGACCCCAAAAATAAACCCCAAATAAGGACCCCAAGAGGCTACCGCAAATTTCGGAGACCCCCAGACAGTAACCAGAAAGGTTACCCAGACCCTAAGTGTTGAAGACTCCACAGGCAGAAAGCTGCTAGTTAGCGCTGACAGGGCAGCACAAGCTGCCCGGGTTTAAAACCCCCAAGGAAACCCGAACAAAAACAAATACTCCGAAAGGCCCAACGAAAAGCCATGAGTCGAGGAAGAACCCCCCCCCCCCCCCCCAAAAAAAAAAAAAAAAAAACAACACAAATAACAGCGGGTGAAGGTTTTCGGGGCCTTCTCCGCAGCTCCGTCCTCCGAGTCGGGTGACAGGTCCTCACGTGTTGGGGGCGCAGTTTTGAGTGTTCTGAAGAAGAGCTTTGAGGGTTTGTGGTTTTAGGGTTTGGAGGCTTTGGGGGGTTCATGGGACTTTGCGATAAGGGGCTTAGGGTTTGGGATGTTTGTTGCGGGTTTCGAGCTTCGAGGTTGCTATCATCGGCTTTTCGGTTGAGGGCGAATCCCCTGATACTCAACGCTCCCCCAAGTTGCCCACCCCACGTCCTTAACATGGTAGGGCGTAAGGTTTAGGGCCTAGACCCTAAACCCGAAACCCAAAACCCCAAACCCTAAACCCTGACCCCGAAACCCAAAACCTTAAACCCCAAACCCTACACCCGAAGAACAAACCCAAAACCCTAAACCCGAAACCCTAAACTCTAAACCCGAAACCCTAAACCCTAAACCCCAAACCCTAAACCCTATACCCTAAACCCCAAACCCTAAACCCTACACCCGAAACCCTACACCCCAAACCCGAAACCCGAAACCCGAAACCCGAAACCCCAAACCCTAAACCCGAAACCCTGCCCTAAAAACAAAAAAGGCTCCGGAGCAGCCGCCGCCGCTTCGGCCGCCTCGAGAAGAGCACCTCCGCAGGCGTAGGGGTGGGGGGGGGGGTTAGGTTTTTTTTTTTTTTTTTTTTAAGGGGGGGGGGGGGATGGGGGATCTTCTTTTTTTGGGCTGCCGCACGCTTTTTGGGGGAGGTGTCTTTTTTGGTTTTTAGGGCTTTTAGGGTTTCTTCTTTTGGCTGCTTTAGGGTGTGAGGGCTTTTGAGGCTTTTAGGGCTTCAGGTCTTCTGATTTTGTTTTTTGGGGGGAAACTCTTTAGGGCTTAGGAAGCTTCAAGGGTTCTACTGCCCCCCACCCCCCCCCCCCAACCGAGGCATAGGATGCAGGATGTTGGGAAGGCTGAGCCTAAATCCGGAGCCCTCAAAACCTCGCCTTCGCCCAGAAGCCGTAGGCTCGTCCGCACCACGGCCGGATGGGTCAGGCGGTAGGCGTGGTCCTGTCGGGGTCGAGGGCACGAGGGCAGGAGGGCTCGAGGGTTTGGGGGGCCCTAAACCCAGAACCCCAAAACTCCGCAAAACTCGGAATTTTGGGCATTCTGGTAGATATTTGGTCTGTTCACGTAGATGCCTGAGAAAAAGCTTCGCGTTTGGCCCTGATTGGGGCGTCTTCGATGGTTGAGGTGGCTTTGTAGTTAGGGCCTTCTAGATCCGCGCATCCGAAGTTCCACCCCAAATGCCCTAAATCCTAAACCCTCTCGTGCCTATAAACCCTCTCTTCTTGCACCCTATAAGTACACGCCACAAGACCGACAAGCTCTTTATAAACCCCCCAGAATACCGTGGGGAGAAGAGGGTTTAGGGCTCAGATGGGTTTAGGGTTTAGGGTTTAGGGGGTTTAGGGTTTAGGGTTTAGAGGGTTTAGGGTTTAGAGGGTTTAGGGTTTAGAGGGTTGAGGGTTTAGGGTTTAGGGTTCACGGCTTAGGGGTTTAGGAGTCTTCTTTCTCAGCCCGTCCTTCTCCCACTTGGGATCCGTCAGCTTTCCTGCCAGGCTGGGTTTGTTCCCCTGCGCCCTGTTTTTTTTTTTCGTACTGCATGCTAATCCAGTATGCTACTTGGGTTTAGGTTCAGGGTTTGAGTTTTTGGGGTCTAGATTACCCTACACCCTAAACCCCTAAACCCTCATGGAGAGAAACTCATGAAAAGGTATTATAACTAGGGCTTTTTCATCACCAGTGAACAGCATTTTAATTATCAACTTATAAATGTGAAATTACCCCGGGCAAATTTAGCGTATTTATTATGTGCCCGGGAGTGAATACTTCGTTCATATTTTATGGGGATTTCGTGCACTCATTTATTCACTTACACATCCCCAATAAAATTTTCTCTTCGTAGTAATTCCTGATGAATTACCGTATGAAAGGAGTGAATGACATGGAATTCGCGGGTTGCGTTCACGCCTTCAATAAAGTTCACGCCCGTCATTCCATGACTCTCATTCCTTATAACTTCATTAATTGCGTTCTCTTCACGTATTCAATCACAGGTTAAGGCATCATGTGTGCGGGCGCTTAATGGCATGACATGTGAACACACTTAAAGCATGATGGTGGGATCTCGAGGGTGGGTTCCTTTCGCTCAGTCATCCATTAACTCTGGACCCTTGAATCTAGGAGCGGTTTTCCTGTCACGTAGAAAGACTCACGATGGTACGGTTTCTAAGTCAAGATGGTACAGGAGCTCTCGAAACAAAACTTGGAGACAGTACTAATGGTGTGTTAGGGTCTCAAGGTGTGATGGGTGCTGAGCTGACACGAGCTCTCGAAACATGGGCTAATAGTAGTACCAAGAGTCGTGTGTTAGGGTCTCAAGGTGTGACAGGGAGCAACCCCAATTACTGCATATTCCGCTGCTCCTCCCAAAACCGGGAAATGTTGAATGGGAGGAGGGGGGGGGGGGGGGGTTGTTGCTACCAGAGAGAGTTGCTGCCCTGAGCACTAAACCCTGAAGCCTAAAACCCTAAAAGCCTAAAACCCTAAAACTCTAAAGCCCCAAAACCCCAAAACCCTAAAACCCTAAAACCCTAAAACCCTAAAACCCTAAACCCCGAAAACCCTAAAACCCTAAAACCCTAAAACCCTAAAACCCTAAAACCCTAAAACCCTAAAACCCCAAACCCAAAAACCCTAACACCCTGAAACCCTAACACCCTAAAACCCTAAATGCCCTAAAACCCCCCTCAACCCAAAACCCTAAACCCCAAACCCTAAACCCTAAACCCCAAACCCTAAACCCTAAACCCTGACCCTAAACCCTGTTCGCGGGCCCTGTTGTAGCCAAGCTTCCGCACTGGCGCGCGCTCGCGAGGCGCTGCGTCTTGAAGAGGTATCCTCAGCTACAGAAGCTCGAACGCATCCAAAACATGTCATGTAGGTTTAGGGTTTAGGGTTTAGGGTTTAGGATTTGGCCCCTTTGTAAACCCTTGAACACTAAACGTTCGTCCCTCAGGCCCGAAAATCCGCAATGCCCTTAAGACCTTCCACCACATAAAGACCCTAAACCCCCGAACCTTGGACAGCTCTTTTCACCTCAGCCCTACGGTAAACCCCCAACAGTTGGAACATCATTTTCCTCATACCCCAAGAGGGTTCCTAAAGGGAATCCCAGCTCTAATCAACCTTAAACCATGTTCTAACTTTCTGGAGTTTACACTAAACCCTAAACCCCTAAATCCCTGAAACCCTAAAACCCTATGCCCTAAACCCTCAGCCCTAAACCCTAACCCCTAAACCCGAAAATCGCTGAACCCCTCTAAAGCCCCTTGCGAAACCTTGGAGGAAGAATCCTTTCAACCCCTAAACCCCTAAACCCCTAAACCCCTAAACCCCTAAACCCCTAAACCCTAAACCCTAAACCCCAAACCCTAAACCCTAAACCCTAAACCAGCGCCCGGGCGGCTAAAGGCCACTACCGCAGGCGTGGGCAGCTCGAGGAACTTGAAGATCGTCTGCTGCTTCCTAGGGGGGAAGTTTTAACCCTAAACCCTAAACCCTAAACCCCAAACCCTAAACCCTAAACCCTAAGCCCTAGAGGGGGGGGGGAATTTTGAGGTCGTTGGGGTTTAGGGGGTGTATAGTGTTTGGGCGTTTTGGGTTTAGAGTTTAGGGGGTTCTTTGGTGTTTGTAGGGTGTTTAGGGGGTTTAGGGGGTTTATGGTGTTTATGGGGTGTACAGGGTTTAGAGGGTTTACAGGGTTTTTTTCAGGGTTCCTAGGGCGTATTTTCTAGAATTTACAGGGTTTATGGGGTGCATATAGGATTCCCCCAAAGTTCAGGGTTTAGGGTTCGATTTTATCGGATTTATAGGGTTTAGGATGCATCGCTGCTTCCTGGAGGGTTTGGGGTTTAGGGCTCCGGCTATATCGGGTTTGGGGTGCATGAGGGCTCTTCACCAAACGTAGTTGGCAAACCCTCCAACCCCAAACCCTTGTGAGCCAACTGTCAACCTTTACACCCTGAACCCGAACCCCCCCCCCCCCCGCCCCCCCTCCCCGCCCGAAACCCTAAACCCTAAACCCTAAACCCCGAAGGCCTCTGCCCACCCCCCTCCACCAGTACTGCAGCTTAGAAGCTCGTGCACCGCTGCTTCGCTCCTCAACCTCGTTTAGGGTTTAGGGTTTAGGGTTTAGGGTTTAGGGTTTAGGGTTTAGGGTTTAGGGTTTAGGGTTTAGGGTTTAGGGTTTAGGGTTTAGGGTTTAGGGTTTAGGGTTTAGGGTTTAGGGTTAAAACTTCCCCCCCTACGACGACGACTAGCAGTACTACTGGCAGTGGCAGTGGCAGTGGTCGTGGTAGTGGTGGTCGTCGCCTACTCCTACTCCTAGTCCTGCTCCTGCTACTGCTGCTATACTACTGCTACGACGGATGCACCACTGCTACTTCTATTGCTGCTACTGCTACTCCTGCTGCAGCCAACAAGAGTACTACTACCGCTACTGCTCCTACTAGTGGTTTTGTGATTCATGTTCCGACCTGATGTGATGATCGGTCGAGTCGCTATTCGCGTATCATGAGTAACCCGCAGCCCGCAGCACCTCAAAAACCCTCCAGACACCCCCTCAAAGACCATGACAACCCTAAACCCTAAACCCCAAACCCCAAGCCCTAAACCCTAAACCCTAAGCCCTAAACCCTAAACCCCAAACCCTAAACCCCAAACCCTTCAATCCCCCAAAGCCCCTCGTAGCTGCTGCTGCGGGCGCAGGTGTCGCAGGATCCGCTCGAAGGCAGGCTTCCGCTCGGCGACCACCTCGATGGTTGTTTCCGAACTTACTGGGTACCTTATTGGGGGTATTTGTTATAAGTGAATCCTACTTTTTGGGGCTTATATTAGGGCCCCTTGTTTTCGTAAACCCCCTCATGTTTTTTGGCTCAAAGGGGGTTTAGGGCTGAGGGTTTTTCGGGCTTAGGGTTTCAGGGTTTTAAGAGCTTCGAGTCTTAGGGTTTGGGGCTTAGATTTTTTCAAGGGTTTTAGGGTTTGGGGTTTCGGGTTTTAGGGTTTAGTGAAGATGCGTTCTTTCAGGGGGCTTAACCCCAAAACCCAAAACCCAAAACCCAAAACCCAAAACCCAAAACCCAAAACCCAAAACCCAAAACCCAAAACCCAAAACCCAAAACCCAAAACCCAAAACCCGTCTTGGGCTCAAACCCCCCAAAAGCTGCGCACCTCTTCGACTAAGGCCCTGGCGGAGGCGTCGGTGGACTGCATGAACTTCTTCTCCGGCAGAGGGGGCCTTTGATCCGTAGGGGGGTTTAGGGTTTAGGGTTTAGGGTTTAGGGTTTAGGGTTTAGGGTTTAGGGTTTAGGGTTTAGGGTTTAGGGTTCAGGGTTTTTTCCCGCTAATTTCGCTCATCCCCAAGGATGGTGTCGCGGTTACTACAAAGGGTAGTTTCATCATTGCAGTTCACGTGGGCTTGAGCAGTTTGGGGCGGAGCTCAGGCGTAGACTTACAGGGGATTCCGCCCTAGAACTGTTCTTTCCCCCCCCATACCGATACCCCCCTAAAAGGTCACAGGCGCACAAAAAACCTGGAGACTTGAAGCATGCGACGTGCTTTTCGCTCGGGTTTTGGGCACGTTGTGCTCGCAACTCCATGGCTAAGCCGACAACCAGAGAATTAGGAAAGCATGGGCTAGGTGTTGAAACACCCACTAAAACCGACGTTTTCTGCACATGCAATAACATTTCGCCTAAAAATCTGAAGATGAGAACAAAAGTACACATCGCTCCTTTCGAATCAGGCGTTCTAGTGAACGGCCACAATGGCGGCAAACAAGCACAGAAAACCATGGCTTTTACGATGTTTTACGACATGCACACCAGCGTCAGTTTTGTGCGTTTTTGATTTTTGTTCTTTTATGTTGCTTCTGCTGGCAGTTGTTAGTGGTTCGAGCGTCATGACGACACACCTTTCGCATAAGCCTTGTGACAGTGCATCTTGTTACATAAACGTCAAACATCCTGGTGCAGCATGTTGTGTAGAGGAGCAACAACGCTGCAAATACCGGTGTTTTGGGCATGAATATAGAGGAACATAGTCGTAGCCAACACCCCCGCACCCCCCCACCCCCCCAAAAAGGAAAAAAAAACAATAAAAAGAAAACTCTCCAAAAGTCCACGAAACAACCAGGTTTTTTACGCGCCTGTTTCCCCCTAAAACCCCCGTAGTACCTCCCCGTTACCCCGACAGCCCCCTGTACTCCCCCCCCCCCCCCTTCGAATGTTTCACCAGGTGCCAACCCCATGGCTTTCCACCACCCCCCCCCCCCCCCCCACAATAAGAGAGGACACCCCCCGCCCCATACCCCCTTAAACATCCCAAATCCTAAACCCGAACCCTAAATCCTGAACCCTACAAGAGAGGCACATGCCCGCATCCATCTCCCGGAGGTCCGCGTGGAGGCGGTCGAAGTCGTCGAAGCGCTTCTCCACCGTAAACCTGGGCGTTGGGGCAGGGCGGGGGGTTTAGGGTTTAGGGTTTAGGGTTTGGGGTTTGGGGGTTTTGGGGGTTTGGGGGGTTTAGGGGGTTTAGGGGGTTTAGGGGGTTTAGGGGGTTTAGGGGCTTTAGGGGGTTTAGGGGGTTTAGGGGGGTTTAGGGGGGTTTAGGGGGTTTAGGGGGTTTAGGGGGTTTTCGAAGCAGAGCTGCTTGCGACCAAAGTCGTTGACCTCCACCATGTAGACGGACCAGGACTTGAGCATACCTTGGGACAAGGGCCCTAAACCCAAAATACTTCAGAACCCCTAACCTCCTAAACCAAAACCCCAACACCAAAACCCCAGACACCCTAAACACCGTAGTTCAGCCCCAAAACCCTAAACCCCTAAAATTTCGGTTTTGAAGGCCCTTGAACTAGGCGAGGGCCTCGAAACTGTTTAAGGCTTATAAGCCTCAGAGAGCCCACAGCATCCAACCCTCAACCCCGAAGTCAGCTACGCAAGGCACCATCCCAGGATTCAGAGAGATACCTCCCTGTTTTGGGGGTCTTAAGTTGAGCGGTGGAAGGCAACCTAACCCAATTTACAAAGGAAGGAAGGGGTCCTAGATCCCCCTAAAGCCCCCCAAAAAGCCTAAGACCTGAAAGCCCAAAGCACAAAAGCACGGGCCAACAAGAGCCGAGACCCCACAAAGCCCGAGAATCCTAAAGGCCTAGAACAGGAAACCCGGGAAACCCCTTGAGCCCGAAAAGCCCCGAAAGAACACGGGTTTAGGGTTTAGGGTTTAGGTTTTTGGGTTTAGGGTTTAGGGTTTAGGGTTTAGGGTTTAGGGCCTCAGAACAATAAAGCCCAAAAACACCCAACAGCTCCAACAAATCTAAATCCCCACACCGTGGGATGCTCCCCCTTATACCAACAGCCCTTCATCCCCCCTAGTATAATCCCTATTAAGGACTGTTGGTATAAGGGGGAGAACATCCCAACCCGCACCCCTCAAAAGGGAGAACATCCCAACCCGCACCCCTCAAAAGCCCCCCCCCCCCCCTTCCCCACCCCCCGAAAAAAAAGAGAGAGAACCGGGCCGCCCTAAACCCTAAACCCTAAACCCTAAACCCTAAACCCTAAACCCTAAACCCTTAAAAAACAAAAGAAAGAGAGAAACCGGGTCGCTGCTTCGTTCCTCCGTCGTGTTGATCTGAATCCTCGAAACTGGTAGAGCTCATCTGGGGTTCAGGAAGTTTGGGAAGTCGGGGGAAGTTGGGGGGGAAGTTTGGGGAACTTAGGCGCTTTGTGTATGTGGTTCGTTTTGCATATATGTGTATACATGAGGTGTTCGTAAATAGGGGCACCCTTCTTGGGGGTCCCTAGAAGGGGATTCTTTTTGATTTAGAAGGTATAAAAAGTTAGAAATAGGGACGCCCCAAGTGTTATCTCCGTCCCGCTGATAGCTCATCCGTTTTCACCCCTAGGGGGGGATACACATTTTCCATTTTCCAAAATATGTTTCCTCATTTTTGACATCATACTCTCGCACGTTTTCCATCAAAAAAATCACTAAAGTTTACAAAAAATATTATATAAAATTTAAAAAATCAATTTTTCAATCAGCATAATAAATTCAATTTTATTTTTTGTAAATTTTAGGTCACTTTTCAAGCAGTCAAATAATTCAAAAATTCATAAATTTTCAGAAATTTATAATAAAAAATTCATAAATTTTTATCATCAATTTTATTACAAATTTTGTAATATTTTTTGTGATATTTTTTGTGATAATTTTTGTGATAATTTTTACATTTTATTTTGTAAATAATTTTTCACATCATCGTCTTCAACTTCATTTAACTTAATATTTATGTTTTTCATATCTTCAAGTTCTTTTAATATTACATTGTTTTTATGTGTAACTGATTTCTCATGTTGTGATTTTTTGTAATGTTTTACATCATAGTTACAAAACGGACAATGATAAATTAGTTTCATATATTCTTTTTTATATGCTTTCACTTTTTCCTTATTATCCTCTTGATACCTTTTATGTCGTTCTTTTTCTTGTTCTTTATGACTGTCCCTATATTGCTTTTGTTTTAACTTACATAAATCTGGGTTTTCTTCATAATTCTTTCTACTTTTTTCACGACATCGTCTTCTACAATCATCACATAATTTGAAGTTTTCTGAAAATTCCCACCACTCACGCATTCTCTGACAACCTCTACAATATCTTGAACTCACCATGGTTATAGATATATGTTATTATCCCTTTAGGCATATACCATATATCATAAACTTTTAAAACTTTTTTTTTATCTTCATGTCTTTAAATATGTATAATTTCACATAAATTATGAAATATTATTTTCATACAATTCAATTAGTTCTTTTTGTAGTTCAATTTGTTTTTCTAAATACTTCATTTCCTTATCTAAATGTTCCTGTTCTTCTTTTTCTATAACGCATTTTTGTTTTATTTCTACAATTTTACTTTCCCTACTTTCTTTGATAATTTCTAGTTTTTCTAATTCGTGCTTTGCCTGTTTGTATAGTATTTCAAATAATTCATCTTGAACTGATTTTTTCATATATATATATATATAATACTATATATTTTAGTTTTTAAAACTTTTAAAACTTTTGAAAAATAAATATTTCAATAAAGATTATTATTTATTGAAATATTTTAAGCTTTTATTTTTTATATATTTCATTCCTATATAAATCTTTGAGATCTTGTAAGTATTGTTTTTTTCTATCTTTATCACCAGCAGATCTTATCCAACTATTATATAGACTTCTATAGTTTCTATAAGTTTTAGTATTTATTTTATTTCTGTTGTTTGCTTCTTCAAATATTTCCCTCAATTTTTGAATACCAATTTTACTTGGAATAATTAATTTTGAACTGGTGGGTTCTTCTTCCTCTTGACTTCTTTCTTTGACGATATTTCCATCTTTTTTAGTGTTTGTTTTTTTATTTAAACGAGTTCTTGGTGGTTCTGTTCGTGGTGGTTTTTCTTGTCGTGGAGGGGGTGCATTTCCGCTTGAACTTGACGACGCCGCACCAGAGGCTCGCGAGCTTCGCGACCCGCCTTGTTGAAAATTAGGTCGTGGTGGTTCTGGCGATGTTTTCGGTGATGGTCTGGGTCTTGCTTTGCCTCTTGGTTCTGTTGGTCGCTGTGGTATTGGCTGTGGTATTGGTGGCAATGCCGGTAATTCCGATACTGTAGGTTGACTTGATGATGCAACTGGTAGTGGTTGTTGTGTTGCTCCTACATTAGGTTGATGGGGTTGTAAAATTATTGAAGGTTGTAAATATTGCATATTTGGAATTGGCATTGGATCGTATGTTGTAAATTGCCCTGTTCTAGGATCTCCTGTAAAATCTAATAATGGTCTTGGTGGCGGATTTATTCTATTCATTATCACTTCATTGAATTGACTTATTGCTTCCTGTGACATACCGGCCAGAAGAGAACTCCCGAAATCCATACCGGAAACCATATTTCCGGCAACATTGCCACCTACTCTTAATGCTCCGCTTCCTAAACTTAATGCCCCACTTCCTAGACTTCTTAAAGTTCCCGATCCTCCCTCTTCTTCTCTTTCTAACTGTTGTTGATGGGCTTGATAAATTGCTTGTTGGTTGCCTTGTTGTGCTGTTGCTATGTTTCCTAATGTTTCGTTGATTTGAAACAATTGTTGTTCTGGTGGTGTGCCGAATTCTTCAACCACAGACATTTCATCAGGGTCAGTCCCTATATTATACATTTCCGGCGATCTTGGTTGTTCTGGTTCCGGTCTGTCATGTTCTGTAAATAATGCTCTGTGTGTTAAACCATTATCCGACGCATATTCCCGTAACATATGATCTCTAACAATTCGCTCGGCTATTTGTTTTTCTTGGACTTTTAATTTATCTAAATGATCCTTGCCATCAAAACGTGTTCCTTTATTGCTTTGTTTATAAAATACAGCATCTCTATTCGGAAAGGGTTTTAACGCGTCTTCGTTATCATTGACCAATTCCAAAATATCTTCATATCTAGATCTTCTATGAAATTGTATTCCAGTATTTTTAACTACCATTCTTTTTTATATATTGTTTTAGAAAATAGACTCACTTAATTCGCTTAATGTATCATACCGTTTTTTGAGATGTTCTAGATAAGTCTCGGGTATTCGTGGATTATGCATTTCCCCTTTCAATCTTGCCATCTCACTTTCATAATTTGCTTTCATCTGACCCTCTAATAGTCTCCGTTTAAACGCCATGTTTTTCTCTTTCGCCTCTCTCGCTTCTAATTGTTTTTTCAAATTCAATAGATAGTCTAGATTTTGTTGACGATATACCAGATCTTCGGATGAATTTACTACAGGATTATCTAATGATTTTTTCTTATGTAGTTTTTTATTTTTTTGAAATTTAAACCTATTATATAATACCATTTGTATATATTATTATTTAGATTTTTTACTTCTAGCCTGAAACATAGCTTTACACATATTATCGGATTTTTCCTGTCTTCTTCTCATAATTTCGGCGTTCATTGATCTCATTTGTAATTGTAATAATTGCTGTTGTGTTAAATTTGCATAAGGGTTTGAGGGTTGTTGTTGTATTTGTTGTGGTGGTTTAGCTGGCATTGCTTTAGATAAGGGTTGTTGTTGTTCTTGATATTGTTGTGGTTCTACTAAATTATTTTCTTGTGGTTCTGGTGCTAATGGTTCAACATTTATTTTTGTTTTTTTCTAGGTGCATATTTTTTAACTGGTTTATCAATAATATTACTTGGTTTCTTTTCACACACACTAGGATGACTATATCGTAATGTTTTAGTTGTCATAGGTTTTTTACAGTCTTTACATTCTGTAGGATTTTTAATAACTTCTGTTATTTTTACTCGTTTTTGTTCTTCATTCACAGGTTCAATTTTTTCAACTTCTGTTTCCTGTGGTGCTTCGGTTGCTTCATTTTCAGGTTCATCGTTAGCTACAACATTTTCTGAATTTTGTTCCGACATATATAACATTCTATATATATTCTATTAAAAATTATGTAGCATCATTTTGAGATTTGGTTATTTGTGACTGCTTTTGTTTTTGGTATGTTTCTCGCTTGTGCTGGTTTATCTTTTCGGCGTTTTGTGTGGCGTATTCTTTCACATTCTCTATGATTTTTTCTTTGTTTGCTTCGTAATACAGTCGCATTCTCTGCTTGATTTTGTCTTTATTGCCTTCACGGTATGTCTTTTGTCGTGCTAAAATTGCATCTTTCTTGTCTTCGTATCTTTCTTTTGGTGTCCGTCCTGAAACATTCCGATTGACACAATCTGTATTTTTGATATTGTATCCTTCTTGTCTAAACAGTTCTTCTTTTGATGAACATGGGTAGTCTTCAATAAGTTCTATTCTACAGTTGTCCATACCATATTTATCAAACATTCTGTATAGTGTATGAAAGGCTCTCGTGTGTCCTTGTAAATATTTTTTGTAGTTCCCTCTATGACTTGCCATTCTTTGACATAGTTTTTCACATGTGCTCCCTATATAGCATTCTGTATAATCACTGTTCCAAACGGCGTAGATCTTTCCCTTTTGATAGTCTGGCATCTCGCTATATGTTTTTATATGTTTTTTTCTGTTTAAATATGTTTCACGTCGCGTCAGTGTTGTGGAATAATAAAGAAAAACTTAAATTAACACCGTTGAAATTTATGAGGTTGCCTACTTCATCAGTTATTCTAAATGTTAGTTTTCTTATTGAACGACGCGAGACATTGACATAATCATAATCTGTAACACCGTAAGGATCATTTATAATACTAGCAAATGAAGCATTTACAGGAATTTTTTTCACTATGGCATTTGAAAATGTTGAGGGACTGTGAAAATTATTATTTGATAATTCAGGACACGAGATATAAATGTCTTGATGTGCTAATAAATTTATAAATCCAGAAACCCACGGAACGACAGAAGTTGAAAAATCTTGAGGTATAGGTGTATTTAAAACACTGTTTATACTGTTTAAATTATTTAGATCAACGTTATTTGAAAAAGACCCTACAAAATTTGCAATCAAGCTATCGGGAAGAACAATAAAAATAATTTCTGAAAAATTTGATTCAATTGTTATTTTATTTAAAATTGTATTGTATGTAGCCGTGTATGTATTCTGTCTACCTGTAACATCAAAGAAAAA